ATATAAATTAGTCTTACTCTTGTGAAAAGAAAAAATACAATTTTGATCAATCATTATTTTAGATACTTAATCAATATTAATTTTGATATGAAATACTTATTTTCAATTTTATGGGACCTTTTTAGTAATTTTTTAGGTTTTTTTTAATAATTTTTCAATTAACTAACTATTGAAGTCCACTTTTTTCATGCCAACAAGGTGCCTAGTACTCTATTTTTAAACATTGAAGGATAAAATTGTACTATATGTAAATTTATGATGCCAAAAGCCCTTAAACGAATAGTTAAAGGTCAAAAATCACTTTAATCTGTTATAAAAATAATAAAATGTGAAAAATATTTAAAAAAAAAGAAAACTTAGTGAAATTTCAGGAATCTCAATTGGAGATGATTTACTATATCCAAAAGATCAAATAAATAGAAGCAACACAACTCAAACATTACTCAATAAAAATCTCAAACACTCCACTGCCTTACTATCCTGAACGTACAATTACAATAGCCATGGTTTCTTTGAGGTTGATTTCTTCTCTCTTCTTCTTTGTCCTCAACCTAACCTTAATATCTCATCATGGCACTAATGCTCAGCAAAACTTCTTGAAATTCTTCTGTGGTAACAGCACTGATGATACCACTAGTACCTTCAAAACCAACCTTAAAGGCCTCTTGTTTAACATCTCTTCCAACACAAAAATCGACTATGGCTTCTACAACTTCTCCTCCGGCGAGAACTCCGACAAAGTCAACGTCATCGGCCTATGCCGAGGAGATGTTAAGGTACAAGATTGCCGAAGTTGCCTCGCAGATTCAAGGGTTGTCCTTCCCCAAGCGTGTGCCCCTAACGTGAGAGAGGCAATCGGGTGGTACGACAACTGCTTTCTCCGATACTCCAACCGAACCATAGTCGGCATCATGGAAACGTCGCCATATTTCTATCTGTGGAACACGCAGGACGCGTTGCAGAAAGATCAGTTCAAGTTTGTGGTGACACAGTTGATGAATTTCTTGATGGAAAGGGCCGCTTCGGTGACTCGTTCCGTAAGTTCGCGGCGGCGAATGCGACGGGACCGAGCAATCAAACGATATACGGTCTGGCACAGTGCACGCCGGACTTGTCGAACAAGGATTGTAGAGTTTGCTTGAATGGGGCAATCTCTGAAATTCCTAAGTGTTGCGATGGAATGAAAGGTGGAAGAGTGGTAAGACCAAGTTGCAACATCAGATACGAGACGTATAGCTTCTTTGATTCCGCAGCTTCACAACCTTTCACTTCACCACCCTTGCCTCCATCTCCCCCGTCGGCTGTTCATCCCGTGTCCAAACAAGGTGCATATAGATCTTTTCTTTTCTTTTTCTTTTTTTTTCCTTTGGACCACGTGCGCGCGTGTGTATATACAACTTTCTTTTGTCCACAATGAAGAGTTTAAAGTAAACTGGGTCCCGCAAGCTTACCAAAATCTGAGTATGTTTCCATGCTCAAAAAAATGCCTAAAAAATATTTATAAATTACCTATCAACAAAATCCTTACATTTGCATCAGCCAGATTTAACTATATATGATATGGATTATATGCCAAATTCTTATTAACTGTAAATCTTTGTTGATCGTATATGTATAACTTATGCTAGGCAAAAACTGAAAAATGATATTGATGTTTGTGAACATAACTTCCTATACATTTTTGAGATTTAACTAATTACTGTTATCAGGGTCATATATTAAAGAACTTGAAGGAGTATGTTTTTCTTGGTATTTTAACGAGGAAAAAAAATATATTGTTTTGCGCAGGAAAGTGCAACGCATCACGAACAGTTATTGCTGTAGGAGTGCCAATTATTGTGCTGCTTGCAGTGCTCATAATTGTGGTCGTAGTTAAAGCCAGGGGACCCAAGAGTATTGAAAGTAAGTCAACATATATAGCATGTTCTGGTGAGTTCAACACCCCTGGTCTTAATGTATATCCAAAGCCTTTCTGGGTTGTTCTAATCTATTATTGTAATTACTAACCCATTTAGCTTATGACACGGTGATATATATGAACTCTTTTTGTTTTGTTGTTGTTGTTGGTAGACTGGTGATGAGATGAATTTTACTTAAGGATGTGCTAAATTCAGCTACAAATTAAACAAGGAAAAAAAGTAAATGTTATTATAACAAGTCTGAAGAGAGAGCTCTATGTTAAGTGAGAGACTCACCTCCAAAACTCATCAACCTATTTTACTTGATAGACTCACCAGTATGGAACTCATCAAGGACTGATAACAATAATATTATAAACACAAGTTTAAACAGAGACCTTGTCAAAAGATTAGCTTATTGAGTGAAGAGCTTTGTAAACTTATAAATTAACTTCACTTACAAGGGTCCTTGATGTAAAACGATAACCATAGGATCATCCCTTTACCTCAAGTATGAAATTCAGCCTTCTATTTTTGGGCTAAAAATGTTACGTGGCGCGGCTTGGCCTTAGTTGGGCTACCTTGGCTATGTTATGTTTCGGTACAGAAGAGGAATTGTTTAACTTATAAGTTTGGGCTAATATTATCAACTTACGGCCCGACTTAGCCTTAATTGGGTTTGTGTGTCAGTTGTGCCAAATTTTTATGGAAAACTAGACACAAGTAATTGGAATTTAGTAAGGATATTGTCTAGTTGTTTACTTGGTTATTTTTGAGTGTTTTGTGCAGAGTTACAGAATGAAGTGCATAAACTGAAATTGCAACAAGAACAGAGTAGATCACAACAGCAACAGATGAATGAAGCTTTGGCATTCCTACTCCAAAACTTTGAGGGTCAACTCCCATTTGAGTTTGTTAAGACAGTAATATGATGATATGTATGAATTACACAACTTTGAATTCTTTTACGATTCTTCTAATTTGTTACTCATGCTACGTTATATATTTTTCCTTTTTAGGTACAAAATGGGCAAAATGGTGGAAATGCAGCGGCTAAAACTCAGTCGCCATACTCTTCCAATAAGGATAAATAGCTTACCTGGAAGATTTGGTTTTCATGGTAAGTCCATGAAAGCTTAGTTAGCTTGGAGGTTCTGAGTTCATATTCTGAGACTAGCAGCAAGCAGAAGCGGTAAAGATAATTAGCTTATGGATCGTGTATGAAGTTGAATTGTAATGTCCATATTTAGCTGTAATTGTAATGGATTGGAATATTATAACTAGAAAATATTGCAGATACTGTTTGAACCTTAGCCATACAGGCAATTTAAACCGATCGATGGTAAAAGCTTCCAAAGTTAATTATCAATAAAACCAAGACCAATTTTAAGATAATACTTAAAGATAAAATAATTTTAAGATACTAAAGAAATAATATTAACCATAGATATTAAATCAAATCTTGATAAACCCTAGATCAAATCAAATATAATTTTCATCATTTTTCCTCATATGGAAGAACTTTGGAGAGTTAAATAGATGGTAGTTGTGAACATCATATTTTGTTCAGGCTACCAAATGTAAATTAAAAATAAATAAAATGCCCAACAAAATTAAGATAAATAAATAAAATTAAAAAAGGAAAAATAGAGTTTTATAAAAAAAATTAAAAATAAAATAATATCTTCATAACTTTGAAAGAAATTTTTTCCCTTTCCTTTTGACTCCCAAATCCCTTTATTTTCATTTCTATTAAATCAATTGCCTTAAATGTAGATTTTAAAATATGAAATAATGGAAAAAAGTCAAAATGAAATTTGTCTTAATACGCTTGATTCTGTCATTAAGAGAAAAAACTTCAGTTGGAGCCTATAAAAAAGATAGCATAGAAAAAGAAAAGGAAGAAGAAGGGAGAGATGGAGAAAGTAAGGAGGTAGGTAGAAACTATTAGGGTATACATATTGTAAGAGCTCTTTCTTCTATCATTCTCTTTTATTTAATTCTCATAGTGTACAAGCATTATATGTGTCCATTGGGTAATGAGTCTTGTTGAGGATTGTGATTATTGTACCTTCAACTTCATTTTTCTCCAAACCAATGATGTGCTTCAGCTAATCCAACATGCTTTCCAAGAGGAATAGTATTCATATATGCTTGAAATTAATATGTCGCAGAGATTCATGAGTACAGTATGCCATTCTTTTCCTTTTTTTTAACGTATGGAATAAATATGATTTTTGATGAGGATGATTTATCAGTCATGGGATTTCATAAATTACTTACCTTGCAATGAAGGGAGAAAAATGGAAATGGAAATTGGCCTTAGTTGGCGTGTACTTGTAGCATGCATACACACACACACACACTTGTGACAATTGAACTGATGCACGCTAGTGGATAGGCTTGAGAGGAAATGGTTAATTTGCTTCCTTTCTTCTTTTATTTATTTATTATTTATTTTCTTTTCATAAATATTTTAAAAGGCGTTGAGTTTTTTTAGGCTCATTTCCAGTTTTGTTGCAAATAAAAAATAAATTATTAATTTTTTTATCTTTTAAATTTTTCGTGAGTGATACTAAATCACCGTGAATATTTGACACATTATTGAGGTATATATCATAAGTATATTAAATCACCGCAACTATCAATTTTTTTTTTTGTGTGTGTGCATTACTTCTAAAAAATATAAGTCTATTTTTAGGCTATGTCTTGAGTGATACTAAATTATCATAGATCCCTAAAAATATCGATCGAGATACTATGAATGATATTAAATCATAACTGTAATGACCTTAATTTTTAATTTGAATAATTTTTCCCTTTCAATAGATATTTTATTTAAATAAGTTTTTTTAGCAAGTAGAAAATGGTAAATTAGAGGAAGTTATGTTAGAAAATTTCTTAAAAATCCAAAGTTCAAGTTTTTTTTTTTGAATAAAAGTTTATTTTTAAATTATATAAAAATCTTGTACCCTTTCGTATAATTTTCTTGTACCCCTTCTTGTGATTTTCTTGTGTTCCTTCTTGTAATTTTCGCAAATACTTCTTTTGGTCAGAATTTATCTCCATGGTTTGAGAAAAAACAGAGCGTTTCATTTTTGTTCTCTTCACCGCCAGTACTCTCCTCTGCTCCTTCATTATCGCTCCACTTCTCAAGTTCTTCTCATCAATTTTCTTTGCTCACCATCGATTGCGTCTCTTCGCTGCTATTGCCTCACTCTTCGTTCTTCTTTCTGCCTAAGTTCATATGTTACAGTAAGGTTGGGTTGCTGGATGCCTTTTCCCCTGCCATCGTTTTTAGCTTCATGTTAACTTGAGGTGAGTGCTCTTCAATTTCTCTGCTTGCTGTCGCATTCCTGTAGATGAGAGGGAGTTGGAGTCACTGAATTCCTTCTTGGCTTGCTGTTCTTTATTTCTTTTCTGCTCAGTGGCCGACTGTGGTGGTGCGTACGTTCGATTCCTATATGCTCTTCCTCCTAAACTGTTGGCATCGTGTGTTTGCTTGATCTTTCTCTTCACTCTTCCTTCCTATTCAGCTAGTGGGTGCTGTGTGAGTGGGTATGCTAAATTCAACTTCTTCTTCTTTGTTTTTTTTTTTTTTTGTTTTGGTCGAAAATTCTGCCTCTGCTTTTCTTGTTGCTGCCGTGTCTTGCTTCAGAATTAAGGAGCTGAATTCGTTAATGCTGTGGAATTTTATTGTGATGCTAAGCTTAATGTTGATAAAATTTATGTGAAAAGTTAATTAAATGGCTAGATGATTATTGTTAGATAAAGTTGGATACTCTCAAGATGTTTGTGAAAATGTTTGAATGAAGAATTTAGGAACTATTTTAGATAATATTAGATGTTATTTTATTAATGTTGAGCTAAATATTGATGAGAAAATTAAGCGTTGGAAATGGTTGAATTTGCTTGGATTTTTGCCTCATGATTTTGTTAATGGTAAAAGTTCTCTTGGTGCTTGTAAATGTGCTTGAAAATTTTGTTGGTCGAAATGAAATTGTTAAATTGTTATAATAGAGCTTGGATGAATTATGAATATTATTTAAAGGAGTATATGTAAGGTTTGAAATTTTAAGAATATCAAAATATGAGAAAGGAATGCCTAGAATGCCTTTATGGTATGTTATTAAATCCAAAGGAAGCAAAAGAATAGTTGATATGAGATGTTATGACTTATGGTTGAGAGTAGATTATAAAGAGCTATGAGAATGAATTGCAAATCATCAAAGGTTTAACTAACCTAAGTATACTTGGAATATAATTAGTTAAAATATTATCTTTAATATTGTTGGATTACCATTAAGTGCTTAAAAAATTATTTGATAAATGATTTTAAAATTTTGATTTACTTGTCAGGACATTAATAATGCCATTAGAATAAAAGTGTAAAGTAAGAGAAGCAAATTTTAAAACTTTTTCAAACTTTCAGGTGAGTGGGTAGCGTTCCTAATGAATTTCTTGTAATTGTTTACAAAATTCCTTTACTTAAATTTTAATACTATTTCTTTATTTGTTATATAAGCATTCTTGTCAATTCTACTTTTATAATAATTATTTTATTAATCATGAGATCTTGATTTTACTATTAATTTATGCTAATGACAAATAACAATTAAAGTTGATATACGATAAACGGTGTTATTTTTTAAAAATAGCTCAATTGTTTAATTTTATGTTTGATATGCAAACCTTTAGTACAACAACTCGTGCATAGAGGAAATGATAATGAATATGAGAATGGAAAATGACATCGAATTGTATATTTCGAAAGTGAAAATTTTGAGTTTGTTTTTTTTACTCCATGCACGCTTGATTTTAATTAGGAAAATTGAGTTCAGAATGCTGGATGTTAACAGCAGTTCTGTTAGCCCTTGGTGCATCATGGTATACCTAGTTAGCAAGGTGTTTGTTGGAAGTGCTAGCCCTATGCGAAGGCCAACGCACATGGATCAGAGGGATGGTAATTCGTGAGTATTGTACTTATGCTTGTTTTCATGGACTTCATGCCTGTGCTTGATTTGTGGCTCCTGCCGTGCTTGTTTCGTGGCTTTTAGCTATGCTTGATTGGTTACTTGCTTTCATAGACTGTGTGTCCATACTTGATTGGTTATTTATCCCTGTGGACTGTGTGTCCACACTTGTTATTTGTTCTGGTAAAGCCCTCCTATATTAGATTTAAAACTTATCATTTTATATTTGTTTCTTTAAAGGATTTTTTAAATTGCACCATTATTTGAAATCTTTTTATATATATATATATATATATTAAATAGAAAAATTTTGATAAATTTATCTAGTTTAGATGCTATTGTTGATTTCATAGTTGTATTATTGAGCAAACTTGTCATTTATTGTTTGTTAAAGTAAGTTTCATTATTTTCTTGTTTTTGTTTAAACTAAATTTATCAGTTACTACCTGTCACATTTTATTTTTAATTAATTATAATTTATAATTTCAATTGGAATGCTGCTCACCGAAAAATTCTTTGGCCTCAGATGTTGTAGATGACCCTATCTATTGATCGTTGAGGGGCAGTGTCACTTTTTAGACAGTGGAAGTACGTTTTGGTTATTTTGATGTAATTGTAATCTAGTGCTCTACATATATCATAGTTAGATCTTAGTTTTGTTTTGATGATTTATAATTTGTTAGTGTGGAGCTAAGCTCCTTCACTGTATTTGGCTAATAAGTTTTGTTATGGTAAAAAAAATTTTAGAAGGTCCAAATTACGGGAGGAACTCTACCGAAATTTCTATAGAATATTTAAGAATTTTTGGTTACCTTACAATTATATATATAAATTAGTTATTGATATTTTAGCTTAATTTCATATAATTAAGGCTTATTGAATGTGAGTTTATCTCAAATTCCATACCAGTCATCCAGGGTGTGACAATAGCAATTATTAAATTTCTTATTAAGATTTTTTTAATCAAATTGTTCTTTGAAAAATTATCTCTAAATATCCCTTTTATACTTTTAGGGTTTGCCATGAGTAATACTAAATCACCATGTGCACTTAAAGTGTCAATTAGTGAACTGTGAGTGATTTTAAATCACTGCAGGTTCCAATACTGGTTAATTTGCCCCCTCTTGTGCATTATTAAAAAATTATAAAAATAATAAAATTTTTAGCATATTTTAGATTATGCCATGAGTGATACTAAATCAATTTAGATCCTTAAAAATATCAAAAAAAGATATTGTGAATAACACTAAGTCATTGCAAGTATCAATTTTTGTTTTGAAAATTTTATAATTAAATTATTTTATAGAAAATTCACTTATAAAATTCCTTTAGGGTTTGTCATGAGTGATACTAAATCACTGTGTGTATTTAAAGTGTTAACTAGCGAACTGTGAGTGATATTAAATCACCGTAAGTTTTAATATTAGTTATTTTTATTTTACCCAAAGGTTCTTCCTTATGAAAATTTTGTATTTAAAAATAAATATAATTATATAACACAAAATAGCGTTCTCTTCATAAAATAAATTAATAAAAAATTAAAAAAAAACTTAAATAATAATGTTTTGAACTACATAGACTTTGATTTTTATAATAAGGTATATAGGCCCTAGGCTTTAATCCTAAGTCAAGTCCTTTCATGTAAATAAATGATTTTTTCCTTTATTTTTTTAATCTTCATTTTTTGCATGTGATTAAATAGTAATTAAGATATTATTAATTTTATACAATCAACTTAAGGTAACTATTTCTATGAACGGGTGTCATAGGGTGCAAACTGTCGCACCCAAATCATGCCTTTCCTGGAGAGGGAAGGTCAATACATGTAAAAAAATTGGAATCACCATCAAAGTTTTTAAGGAAACCTTAAAAAACTATATAAAAAAAGATGATTTGTGAAAAAGGTTTGAAAGTCTGTTGCATGTGGGGAAGATGTTAGGCACTTTATGACACCTATTTATAAAAATGATTACCCTAAGTTGATTGCATAAATTAATTGGCCTTTTAATAATATCTTAATTACCCTTTATAATCACATGAGAAAAAAGAAACAAAATAAAACTTTAAAAGAAATTATTTATTTATAAAGGAGGACTTGACCTAGGATCAAAGCCTAGAGCCTTCATACCCTGGGAATCAAAGTCTACGTAGTTCAAAAGTATTATTAGTTAAATATTTTTTATTCTTTAAATTTTTTTATGAAAAAGAATATTATTTTTGGGTTAACCTTTATTATTATTATTGTATAAAAATTTAACCAGTATTGAAACCTGCGATTATAGTCTATTAGTTGATATTTTAAATGTACACGGTGATTTAATATCACTTATGGCAAACCCTAAAGGAAGTTTTAAAGAGGAATTTTCTATAAACTAATTTAATTATGAAATTTTAATTGCAAAAATTGATGCCTGCGATGACTTAGAGTCATTCATAGTATCTCATTTGATATTGTAGAGATCCATAGTGATTTAATATCACTCAGGATATAACTTAAAATATGTTAAAAAAAATTTTTAGGTTATGCCATAGTGATCTGATATGACTCATGAATTTTTTATTTTTTATTTTAAAAAAGAAAGCTGTAAGACTTTTTTTTATCATCGAACCCTCTTCCTCTTTCTAGGAAAAGAAAAAGTTAATGATTCATTAATCAAAACAAGAAACTCATTCCATTTTGTAATAAAGCCACAAGAGTGACTCTTATCACAAATAAAATAACAATAACAAAAAAAGAAATGTCACCCAAAATCTCAAGCAAGTATAGGGGTCATCTGGTAACACAATAAAGATAAAAAAAATTAATGGTTGAGGTTACAAGATGCCACATGATGATCAAACTAAACCAAATGCAAGAGTACATGACATGAAACTGAACATATAAAGCTCCATATTATTATTATTACACAGGAGTGTATAATCTAAACCCAAGAAGCTTTTATTTCAAAGAGATTTTTCCGATTAAGCACATGAAGTTAAAGAGACATGGAATCTAAATGGAATCGGTTACCTTTCAAAGCTTCGCCTAATATGTTTTGCTTCTTCAAATTTTCCTATCCATTTGTTCTCTCCTCAAATTTCTTCTCTCCTTTTCTTGTGGCCTCTTTCTCTTTCTTTTATGGGCACCAACTAAATTTTTATCACTTAGTGATAGAATCAAGCAAATTAAAACAACATTTATTTTCACTTTTCTTCATCATTTTAGATTTCAAATTTTCATTAAAGGCAATCAATTTGATAGCAACAAAAATGAGGAGATTTGAGAGTCAACAAAAAAGTGAAAAAATATCTTTTAAATTAGGAAGATATTATTTTATTTTTAATTGTTTTTCATAAAACCCTATTTTCTTCTTCTTTTTTAACTTACTTAATTTTATTGGCTTTTATGTATAGTTTATATCTGGAAGCATAGACAAAATATGGTGTTCACAATCGTCATTAAGCAAAGCAAAGTTGATGTTGCAGAACTTATCTGTAATGATCCATGTAACATATAAATCATAACAATCTTTCCAGCAAATGAGGTATTGTTGGATGGGATCTAATTGAGTTTGAAATGTTCATTCGACTATGATAACATAACATTAATGGTTTCAGTTGGTGGTGTAACAACTGACAATGTGGAATTGGGGTATGGTGGGGTTGTGTACTTGCAGAATCATCAAAAAGCAGAAGGGGTGGCTCAAAAGTACCCCAATAAAGAACAAGATCCTCAACATTAAATATCAGACTGATGGACATGCTTAAAGGTAAATCTAATGAATAAGCATTGGGCCTCAGTTTTTGGTTTTGTTTTTTATTTTGTAATACAAAAAGGGCTAGAAACTGAGCATGTAACTTCTTGAGCGAATTTCTCGAAAGTACTTTAGACATATTCGAGCAATAATGTAGTCTCCAACATTAAGTTCGTGGGATATATGTGCATTGGCAACTAATTTATATGCATCATTACTCATTGCTAATTTTCACCTAATTTTAGTAAGATGTTTAGGAGTGTGATAGGTAAAGGTTGTAATGAAGTTAAGGAAATGAACTGTCAGATAGAGAGGTAAAGGATCAAGAGGTTGTTTGGGATAAAAAACAAGAGCATTATCAAGAGGTTAAGGAAATGAACTGTTAGATGGAGAGGTAAAGGATCAGGAGGTTATTTGGGATAAAAACCAAGAGCATTATCAAGAGGGTTCTTGCAAGTGGCCTAAATAGAAAATAGGCTCAATTATTTGCTTGTTAGTAGGTTAAGACTATATGGATTAACTCCCTGATTTATAGGTTCATGTTTGACAGAACAAAATTGTCTTTCCTTCATGTTTGAACATATATGTGTTCTCTCACTTGCAATTGGTAACATTATGGCCATAAAGCTAAGGGTGCCTTAAAATGATGAGAGCTACATCCATGGAGAACACATCACAAAGGATTTCTTCTTGATACTCTTCTAATTAAAAGGGAAAGTGACATTGTTGAGCAATAAGGATAAGTAATGTATTTATCCAAGCTATAGATGAAATGGTTCAGGATAAGACTTTAAGTTAAGGCCAAATCTAGTTGCTCCACCACTAGAGATCACATTTCTCATGCTACCCTTATCCATTTTTAGCTTACATACATGTTCCTTACATTTCACAAAAGTATAGAAGATGTTGTTTCTCATCCAAGAGTCCTCTATTAATGGGGTAGATGTAATATTTCTTACAATGTTCAAGCATCTTGAGTTAGGTTTAGTACCCTCTAATATAATATCCTTATCAATATTAAAAGCACAATCAATAGGGTCAACCACTATATTAGCTTCAACTACCTTATCCGTATCATCAACTTGATGTTTTCAAGGATTAAGGTACGTTGTGGGCACTTAGAAGCGATATGACCTATCATGTGACAATAGAAACACTCAATAGATGGCCTATTAGGTTAGGAACTAGAACCTCTAGATTCAACATACTTAGTGTTACTCCTAAGGCTAGAGGTTTGACTCGGAGGAAGTTGTGAACTTAACTTAGGCAAAAATCCTGAGGAATGATCAGTAGGTATAAGGTTGCAAGTGATATATGTTGGTACGCTATCTCTTACATGGAAAACTCTTAACAGAGTAGCATCTAGATAGTAAATCTATTTTCATAGATTTATGATACATTTCTTTTAAGATGTCTGGGTAGTTTATCCTAAATTCTTATTAGATGTCATGTCTAAAGCATTTAATTAATGAACCTTTCAATTATCCAAGAAGGCTCAAACACATGATTCCTAATAAGGAGGTCATCATGCTAAGATACATATTCAGATGCTGTGGAAGTTTGCCTAAAGTTAAGTAGGTAATTGTATAGCTTGCATTTCATAGTAGCTGGTTAGCATATACTTCTCTTTCAATTTCAGCTTCATCTCAACCTAAGTGTTTATAGGAGGTTTTCCTAAGCATTCTATGTTTTCTTAGACATTCTACCAATATTTCCCAGCAGATCCTATAAGCTTCATTTTTGTGAAGCAAAAACATTTTATGTCACTCATGTTATACTAATCAAAGTAGTCATCCATGGTAGCTAATCAATCTAAGAAGGCTCTTAGGTTTAGTCTATTGTAAAATTAGGTACTTCTACTTTGACCTTTCTTATAGCACCATCATGGAATTCATGTCAAGAGGTTTCTTAGTTATGTCTAGGGGGTGATGTTTTATATCGATTTCTTGGTGGTGGCTTATAGCTCTAATCCTTATATCATTAATCCTAAGGGACCTCTACTTCCTTAAAAGGTCTGGGATTAGGTTCATGATTAAGTGGTATAATATTGTGGGTAATAGGGCTTGTAAAGGATCGGTAAGTGTTAACCTCTAAAAGTTCATGTTATTTCATCATA